AAGCACTTGAAGGCTGTGGGGATTATCCATGCAGACCTCAAGTTGGAAAACATCATGCTAGTTGATCAGCTACGGGAGCCCTTCCGTGTCAAAGTGATCGACTTCGGATTAGCATGTGATGTGTCAGCTGCCAAGTTGGGCTCCTATATTCAGACCCGTCCATACCGGTGAGTACCTGRAACCATKAMAGATCTTAGTGGTGTATGTAAMCTATTAAGGTGTCCTTCAAAACAACCCAAATATTTTTCATGGTTTATGTGATCATGGTTGTTGCTCCTCTTTCAGATCTCCAGAGATCATACTGGGGCATCCCTTCACAGAGGCCATAGACATGTGGTCTCTGGGACACATGGCTGCTGWGATGTACCTCGGGGCCCTGCTCTACCCTGGATTGAGTGAATATGAAATGGTACACAAACTACTTCAAATGCACTTTCTGTTCTGAATTATAAATATCCTAAAGGGACAGTTCATATCATGTACATAATATTGGAATAAATCAGTAGTTCACCTGGCCTTGTTTTGTATTTTCAGATCAAGTTCATCACGGAGACTCAGGGTCAGCTACCCGACACCATGCTGAACCATGGAGGTAAAACTGCCAGGTTTTACAKGAAAAAYAACAACTCCACCACCTCCGTCTGGAAACTCAAGGTGCCAATCTTAAAACCTTGTTATATTCAAATATATCTTTCTCCGTCTCATACCTGCCTTGCTGTAAAATATTTGGTTTGCTCTATATGTTTGTGCTAACAACCAGAGCACCAGAGCAGTACCACAAAGAGACGGGGAGGTGGCCAATGGAGAACAGGTGTTGGAAGTTCACCTCCCTGGACAACCTCTTGCTTGTATGTCTTCTTTTATCATTCAACATGAGCTTATTTCTTTAAGATGAATAAACACTCTGAATGTCCTAGAGAGGTTTTTTATCACGACTGGAGCTAACCGATGACATGTTTGTGTGTTTTAGATCCGACCAATCAACACACAAAACTCTACAGATAAAGTTGCAGAGAAGGCCGACGTCCACATGTTTGTGGACATGCTGAAGGGGATGCTGCAGCTTGACCCCAAGRGAAGGATCACACCCCTTCAGGTGCTGGAACATAAGTTCATCAACATGCGCCACATTGCCAGCACRGCCCATCAAGGCAACTAGTAAGTCAACAATGTGATCTGGTCAAATGTTTTTAAATGTAAAATTCTTTTTTTTCTATTTATATTCCACTTGTACCTTTGTTACTGTTCATGTASAGCTCCTTGCAATATGTCTTATACATCTTATCTATGTCACACACGACACACTTTGCTAATGAAAGGATACATTTTCTTTCAGTTTCAGGTGCTGTTTTCAGATGATGGACGTATGCAAGAAGAAAATCCAGACTTCTGAGTGTCGCACAGCTTTGTGTCGGCCACTGAAGCAGTCCTGGTGCAAAGCTACCAACCCCGTCCAGAAGAATCCTCCATCAAGTGCTGAGGGGAGGAAAACAGACCAGCCCCACCACATTGACCTACATCCCAGCACCACCACCCAGACTGGAGGAGCTGATGAGTCCAGAAAGCAAAAGACTGATCACGATGTTGTGCCGCCTCACAAGAAAATGTCTCTTCCAGGGTCAAACAAAAGGATCCAGGGAAACTAGGAAAACTTCAGGAGGAGACATGAATCTTGGCACTCTCGCCCTCATCAGTTGGATCAGAGGACCAGGCCTGGTGATCACCACCACACCACAGGTCCTTCAGGCAGCACCCAGACTGAGGGTCAGACTCT